TGTCTCCTTTTTTGGTATTTTCATGCAAATTCTTCTGCTAGTTGGGGTTTAGTCCACTTTTATATCCTTCCCTTCAAGGCTCAGGGGTCTAAGATTATCTTCTGTGTCTGTGTTAATTGGTTTCCCTTTTCTTTGTTGAAGAGTGTCTGTGCAGTCCTTGTGCCTAGTCCGCCATCTTGCCGGAACTGCCTCTTCTTTTTTTTTTAACCCTCACCACAATTTAAATGCATCAGTTCTTCTGTGGCCTTCCTTATTCATTGTCCAGCTTTCACAGCATGGGAGGCTATTGAAAATACCATGGCTTGAGTCAAGTGCAACTTAGTCTTCAAAGTGACATCTTTGCTCACATAAAACATTTATATATCCAACATATATAGCAGAATTTTCAATTTGACCAAACATTTTCTAGAATATTAAAACATATGTATAAAAAGAAAATATCACATCTTATGCACATGCATGTTCCCACATACATGTACACACACACACACATGCATGTGTGATATTTATATAAAAGCATTTTCCCCTATTTTCAGTATGGTCAAATCAGATTTTTCTAAAATACTGAATTATGTGAAATCACTCTATTAAAGTCACCAGACTTTACAGACATACCAATAAAATGAAGCCCATAAATATGGAGAACAATTAATTTAATTTAGGTGAAAAACAAAAGTAATAGAAATAATTATCAATAATTCAACTGATCAGCTGAGAAAGTTTCACTTATACCTGGCAGCAAGCAGGTTTTTCTCTGAGAAAGAGGAATAAAAATAACTTCCATCTGTCTTTCAATTTAAAAGTTCCAATGGAACATTAACATCATTTCCTGCTTTTCTAGTCTGGATATTAAAATATATCAAGGAGTCATAGGGCTATTTTCTGTTATAAAAATCCCTGAAACTATTTGCCTATCTATCTATCTTCAAAATTGGAAGTCAAAACACCTAGATAAGAACCAAGGGATGAGCAAGAATATTTCACATCTTTCCAGCATGTGATGGTGGTGCTGGCTGGGAGCACAGTTAGGTGAGCAGACTTTTCCTAATGAGTGAACAGAGCAGCAAGTTATGGATGTTCATTAATCTACTTTTGTATGTAGATATTTTGCTTATTGATAACATTGTCACTATATAGTTATAAACCAAAAACCAAACTTACTGCCATCCAGTCAATTGTGACTCTTAGCAACCCCCATTGGGTTTCCAATGCTGTAAATCTTTATTGGAGTAGATTGCCCCATCTTCTTTCTACTGAGAAACGGGTGGGTTTGAACCACTGACCTAATTAGCAGCCAAATGCCTTATCCACTATAGCACCAGAGCTCCTTACTACCTAATTATATAATACCTAAAGTTTGGTTTACATGTTACCATTTCATTTTCTCTCTGTCCCAGGTTAAATGCTGTTACCCTTGAATCCGCTGTTCCCTATCCTACTGACGGAAGCATTGCAGCAGCTGTAGAAGTTTGTCAGTGTCCACCAGGGTATAGTGGCTCCTCTTGTGAAGTAAGTTTGAAAGAATGTATCCTCAGTGCATTCTCAGTTCCTTCAACATTGTTTTCAATATGTTGTTGTTAGGTGCAGTTGAGTTGATTCCAACTCATAGTGACCTTGTGCACAACAGAATAAAACACTGTCCAGCCTTGCATCATCCTCACAA